TGGTTACTGTAGCTTTGCAGTATATTTTGAAGTCAGCTAATGTGATGCTGCCTGCTTTCTTCTTTTTGTTCAGGATTGCTTCGGCTATTCAGGGTCCGTTGTGGTTCCATACAAATTTCAGGATTTTTCTTTTCTATTTCTGTGAAGAATGTAATTGGTATTTTGGTATTTTGATAGCACTTCCATGAACTCTGTAGATTGCTTGGGGAAGTACGGTCACTTTGACAATATCAGTACTTCCAATCCATGAACATGGAATATCTTTTCATTTATTTTTTGTGTGTATCCTCTTCAATTTCTTTCCTCAGTGTTTCGTAGTTTTCATTGTAGTAAAGGTCTTTCACCTCCTTAGTTAAATTTATTTGTAATTATTTTATTATCTTTATAGCTATGGTGAATGGGGTTGCTTTCTCAGTTTCTTTTTCAGTTTGTAATTGATGTCTAACGCTGATTTGTGTATGCTGATTTTGCATCCTGCAACTTTACTGAATTCATTTACCAGTTCTGCGGTTTTTTTGTAAAGTCTTTAGCTCTTTCTATAGATAAGAGCATGTTGTCTACAAAGAAGGACAATTTGATGACCTCTTTTCTACTTTGGATGATCTTTATTTCTTTCTCTTGACTAATTGCTCTGGCAAGGACTTTTCGTATAATGTTGAGTAAGAGTGGTGAAACTGTGATCCTCTCTTTAAGCTTAGAGTTCCTACTCTATTTGGGGGGCTTAGCATACTGTCACCACAGGAAAAAACACATCCCAGTCCCATCTTGTGTCCTGGAAGATCTGACACTTTGGACTTCAGCTGGTGGTGACAGAAGCCTCCCCTGGTTACCCAGGGACATGTCTTACTTATGTAAGTTCTTCCATTGAACTGTCAGGACTTTTTACCAGCTCTGATCCTCTGACCATGAGCTTCTCTCCACCTTCAGAGGAGTCTCTTGTTCCCTTTACCCTTGGGATGTCATAAAGTGGTGTCTTGACCCCACTGCTTCTGTAAGCACCCACAGTGGGGGACTGATGCCCACAGCAAGGGGCTAGGCTTTTAAGGTGCTCTGGTGTTAACCCATACCACCTGGCAGTGCTCTGGGCAGGAGTGGGAGGAGGTTTCTTCTCTTTATGGACCATCCTTTATCTCTGGTTTAATTTTTAGTACAGGTTTAACCTATAAGGAAAATATATGCTGGGCTGGCTCAGCCACAAGTCAACACCAAAGCTACAAGCCAAAGGCAGCACACAATCTCCAGGCTAGTGGCAGGTTCATGTTGGGGCCTGGAGCCCTGGCTACGGAGTCCTGTGACCACAGGAATAAAATCAGCTGAGATGACAGAAAGTGATGGCTCCACTATAGCGCTGTCTCTGCCAGGGTATCTGCTCCTCTCATCACAAAAGAGATAATAATACACAAGGTATTTGCTTTTCCTGGCGCAAAGCAGAAGCTATTACTTGAGCCCTTCTGACACACAGACTCAATGGTGCCAGTCACTTTGTGGCTGCTTAGTAAATATTTATCTGAAAAACTGCAAGGCCAAATATATCTGTCTAGTCACTTGTGTTCTCATAGCAGAAATTTCTATGGCATTTCTTCTGGTGACTTGGAAGAAGATTCCAGAACAGAAGGGGCTATCTTTAAGCGAATTCAGCAGGAGAAGAAGTACCTTAGACTAGAAATGCTGAAATCACAGTAAAAGACTCCACCCAACAGTAACGCATATATTTATGAGTAGCTAGAGCGATTCTGCACGACATTTTCTTCCATGTTAAAAACTATTTCTGACTCTGACTTAGCTGATCGTTACACTTCAGTTATAGGTAAAGCTTACCCAAGAATGTAGAGGTTGTTCAGCTCTGTAGATTTCTTAGTCTAAGAGGAAATTCAGCCTGCGTGAAATGTGGGACTTGGTGTTCATTCACTGTATCTGGTCCTCTGAACCATTAGCAGTATCTCACCCACAGGGGCAGCTCACAGCTCCTTCCAAACGTCCTTGCCAATACAAATCAGTCAAGGTCCATCTGGGAGATAGAAACCACACCTGTTATGTGAACACAGTGTTTTTCAACCTTTTTTTCATCTCATGGCACCCTACTATAATTAAACTTCCATGGCACACTTTATGTTGGTCCAAAAGAAGAGCGAAAGAAAGAATATACTTACAGTGCTTTGAACTTCTTTTGAACATAATTTAACCAATCAACTTTACAAATTTTTGCAGCACACCTAAGAGCCTCTCGCGGCATGCGGTGTTTTAACACAGGAATTTTTGTACTAACAATTCACATCTGCGTAGCACTCACAGCTTAGAGAGCACTTTTTATGTACTTGATCTTGTTTAAAGTTATCACTGAATTGGGATGAAGTGTACAAAATATTTTTTTCTTTATGTACACAGATAGCTAATTATTCCAAAGCTTTTTTTCATGTGTGAAAAGCTATACATATACATGGAAAAATCCTCAATGGTATAAGATGGTAAACAATTAAAGGAAACTCTCTCCCTCACCTCTGATACCTAGTTCTTTCCCCCAAGATTTTGTGTATCCTTCTAACAATTTTCTTTGCACATACACACATATATACAAACACACATATATAATATATACATCGTTATCTAGATCTCTCCAATAAAAAGTTATAATTAATCTAATTTATAAATGTCTTAACACAATATTAAGTAAATGAGGTGAGGGATATATCAACCAGTATGATGTAAACATTCCAAATTGTGTATGAAATTAGCACATTGTACCCCATAAATGCATTAATGTATACATGATCTACCTTTTATGATTTAATAAAAAAAAAAATAGAAAATGGATTAATCTGTTCCTGGGTACCCCAAACTTGAATTTTCAAAATGACTTTAATAGTAAATACACTGGACTTTAAGGTAAGATATTAACAAAAAATAATATTTGAATAAAAATGTAAATTAATAAAATTAAAAATGTAAAAACCTAAAGTTAACTTAATTGCTTACATACACAAATGGGATTTTGCATAAATACCTCAAAGATTGTATCACATTAGGTCATATTTGCTTTTTAATTTTTTTTCATGGCTTCCCTCCCCGTTCCCCGTCCATTCCTTTATTTAGCAAGTATTTATTGAGAAGCTACTATGTTCTAGGCATAGCTGTGGGGACACACAAGAGAGCCCCATCATGCAGCCCACCATCATAGTGCTGACTTCTCCTTCCAGTTCTCCAGGTCAGTGCGTGGTGTCGTCTGCCCTCTATTGGGTGACCCAGGCAACTCTTTCCAGCCCGTGGCATGGTGTCTGGGACTCCATTCTGTCTTCCCTTTTTGCAAAAGTGTGAGGTTTGTCATTTGTCTCTGCGCTCCCATCTACCAGGGCCCAGGTCTCAGTCCCACTGTTCTGTGAGTCATTTGGCCTTGGGTGTTGCCCCCATCTCTCCAGTGAGCTGTGCCTCCTCCTTTCATTGTGAATTTTCTTGCTTGCTTTCTGAATCACCTACATATTTAAAAACTCTTTATTTTGAGAGGTTTGTGCATTCCATCCTGTATTTCCATGTGCTTATTGCTCAGGTGGAGGGGGGGAGCGCCTTCTATGGCAGGTTAGTTTGTCATAGTGACCCAAAGTGCCCAGGAGAGTTTTGACAATGCTGGGGGAGACGGACAGTGAGAGAGGAATGCAGGACTGTGGAAATGCCTTGGTGGGCATTAAAAATGTGGTCTTCTGCCTTCCATAGAGAATGATTTGAATTATTTTAAATTTCTTTTGTTTATCAAACCTTAGTTTATTCTAAGCTCCAGTGATATCTGAAATAGAGATTTACATTTCTGATGATGGAGATAGTGAATTTACTCATCTCAAGAGTGCTTGCTGTATAGCAGATCCTTAATACATGTACATATTTGTTTAATGAATGTATGAATGAATGAATGAAAGAAAGGGGGCAAATTTGTTAGGCTAGAAATCTTACAACTGAGGTCTTCCATCATTAATAATGTGACAACGCTGATGACTTGAAGGTAAGCTGTCATATTGACCCCCAGTGCCAATGTAAAGTTAGTGATAAACAGTGGTATACCTGACAGAGGGGGCACATGAGGAATGTCAACAGCAAAACTAGTATAGAAAGGGGGAACTTGAAGAGGATATACTTCTTCAAGAAGGCAACTTAAAAAAGGAAGAAAGAAAAAGCATCAATCATCTTATAGCAGAAATGGTCTATTATCTCTATGTAAAAAGGGAAGTAGAATTTTAGAATGAAAAGAGTCTGCCCACATTACCTATCAGGTGCCACATTTGCCTCAGGGGATGTTTTCATGGTGACAGGGAAAGCCACCTTCCCTGGGGTAAGTTCCAGGCCAGTTGAGGAGCAGTTCTGTTAGACTGAAATTGAATCAGAAGAAACTTAAGTGTTGTGGGGAAAGGAAAAAAGAGGCCTTTGATTTCAAAGAGGAGGAAGAGCTTGATAATCACATGAATTTTGTGAGGCCAAGTGTCAGTGAAGCAGGTATGAGATTAGAAGCTAAATAATGGCAGTAATCAGTGCCATGAGATTGAGAGGAAGCCCTGGACAATGGGCAGAGGATACTGGACCACCATGGGAGGAAAGACAGGAAACTTGGGAGGAAGGGACCAGGGGGCACAAAAGCCGGAGAGAGTGATATTTCCACAGGGGTCCCACAGGCCACTGAAAGTGAAGGCAGAATGATGCCAATCTGTTTCTCCATCCTCTCAGTCTTCACACCGAAAAGAGCAGCTAGAACAAAGAGTGTGTGAAACAGAGTTCCAAGTAAATAAAATTAAGGAAATAGTAAGAACCAGGCCCAGATGAATTGTATTTTAGAGATTAACGGAGACAGAACTATATAAAGCTGTTGTCAATAATCTATGAGAAATTGTAGAACATTGGTGCTGTGCAGCAGATGGGAGGTGTGTCAACACAATTTTCAGCACAGCCACCCCTGGCCCATGTGGTACCTCTGTGTGAATTAGGAAAAGGCACCCCTTCCTCAAAATACCTTACTTCCGCTTTTTCTTTTTCGCAACGGGTTTGCCGCCAGAACACAGGTGTTGTGAAAACCGCCCATACAATCCAAAATGGGGAAGGAAAAGACTCACATCAACATCGTCGTCATTGGACACGTAGATTCGGGCAAGTCCACCATTACCGGACATCTGATCTACAAATGTGGTGGCATTGACAAGAGAACCATTGAAAAATTTGAGAAGGAGGCAGCTGAGATGGGAAAGGGCTCCTTCAAGCATGCCTGGGTCTTGGATAAACTGAAGGCTGAGCGTGAGCGTGGTATCACCATTGACATCTCCCTGTGGAAATTTGAGACCAGCAAATACTATGTGACTATCATTGATGCCCCAGGACACAGAGACTTTATCAAAAACATGATTACAGGCACATCTCAGGCTGACTGTGCTGTCCTGATTGTTGCCGCTGGTGTTGGTGAATTTGAAGCTGGTATTTCAAAGAATGGGCAGACCCGTGAGCATGCCCTTCTGGCTTACACACTGGGTGTGAAGCAACTAATTGTTGGTGTTAACAAGATGGATTCCACTGA